GCATCAACAGTATGGTGAGGGGCGTAACATTTCCGTCTCACGCTTGAGGTATTCGGCCAATCATAATGCACTGGATAGCTGGCCAATCACAGCACACCTCGCTTTTTCAGACTGATGAGCTTTGTAAAAATCGATGCGTTTCAGAAAGGCGGGGCATAGAGGAGAAACAATAATGTACAGTATGTGGAAAATGTGTTTTTTGAACTTTAAACCGCATAAACACATTTCATTACACCAAATACACCAAATAATGTTCTTTTCAGCACCATCATATGACCCCTTTAAATAAAATGATAATGAAACAGAAAATATAAAAAGTGTACACTTTCAAGAGTGTTACAGACAGATTTATCCTCACCTTTCAACTGAGGGGTTTGAAGTCAAATGACCTGCCAATATAAAACACACACAAATGTCACAAAAAGACACTTTATGAAGCTAGAGTTGATAGACATCATCTGATTACGGTCAGACGGAGAAGAGAAGCTCTGATCCGCTACAGAAAGAGGAAGAAGGAAGCGCTGAGCTGAATGCAGACGGCTGAAGTATGTCTGAATGCCTTCACCTGCATCAGGTGCTCAGAACAAGCCCCGCCCCCTCACAGCCACAGCCCCGCCCACCAGAGACCGTGAGACTCCTTACAAACGTCTTCAATTCATTCACGTCTGTGGCGTTTTTCACTGCGAGGGTCACGCGTGTGGGAATGTGTCACGCGTTGAATGTCACAAAAAGTGGCCCAAACGACACCAGTCCCCCGTTTCAGTTGACAACAGCATGGGGACAGTAACTGATTTCATCTGATTTTGTGCAGCATAAACACTAAAACTCGTTGAGGTCTGGTTTGGCGCAGACACACGCCTGGACTCGCTGGAGGAATGTCGTCGAGTTTATCCTTAGCTCATCACCTGCCTTTGAAAGCAAGTAAACACTTTTGTTCCTCATGAGCACAGCCAAAAATCTATACTAAAAATGATTCGTTTCAGAGAGAAATAAATCCAGTAATTTGATTACAAGTGTAATATGCTCATAGCTGAGTGATATTCAGTTATGTCATAACCTATGCCTAATAAAGCAGTGTTCTTATCGCAATGCTGCTTTGAAAACCCTTTTGTAACCTTTTTTTTTTTATGCTTTTCTTAAATTGTTTATTTAAACACACAATTTCATTTAGTGCTTGTTGGGTATCTGACGGCACTTTCTGTGAGTTTTTATGATGAGGTTTTTCCATTTATACAAAAAACAAGGTCTGTGCTAAATATAGATGTAAGGATAGATGTTTTGCTCTACAATGTAAATTACACACACTCATACTTATAATGCAAAATGTGAAGCACTTATGCTTA